ATTTTTTTTTACAAGAAAAATATGATACTTGTTGATTATCTTGTTTTTTTTTTTGACAAAAGAAGAAGATGTACTACATTTTTTTTTTGCTTGTTGTATTACTTTTTATTTTTTTTAACAAGAAAAATAAAAAAATGATGCTGTCAAAGTACATTTTATTTTTTTATGCCTTTTGTTTTATTTTTTTTGCAAGAAATACTTGTTATATTACCTTGTATTTTTTTTACAAGAAAAATAAAAAAAATGTTGTATTATCTTTTTTATCTTTATCTTGAAAAGCCTTGTATTTTATATTTTTTTCTATTTTTTTACAACAGTATTTTCTGCCTTTATTTATTTTTTGACAACAAATTGTATTTTTTTTACAAGAAAAATAAAAAAATGTTGTATTATCTTTTTTATATTTATCTTGAAAAGCCTTTTATTTTATATTTTTTCTATTTTTTTACAACAGTATTTTCTGCCTTTGTTTTTTTTTTTTACAACAAAATTTTTTTTGTTGTGCGCTAAGGGGTTTGAACTAAAAAAAAAAAAAATTTGTTGTGCGCTAAGGGGTTTAAACTCAAAATATTTTTTGGTGTTCGCTATGGGGTTCGAACTCAAGACATACACCGCAAAATCGATGTTGTCAACTAACATGGCCACATCGCCACATGTGATTCTAGTAGTGTCTATAATAATATATATTCTATCATCTTGCTTTAATGATTTTTTGTGAGAAGTATCCCACATCGAAGGATGAGTGTTGCTTGGTTCTCTATAAAGTCATCTGTCATTGACACTTACTTGCGCGTGTAGAAACGCGAGGGTGGCAAACGTGAGGTGAGTTACCATGTGGCGACATGTCACTCTCATGAGGTGGCCACGTGTCACAAACTTGAGGCTGCCACATGTAAATCCAAAAAATACGGGTTTTTTCGTTGAGACTAGCGATTCACTATTCGGAATCGCCCGGTTCTCTCTGGACACGAGCGATTCTCGGTTTTTTTGTGGAACCGGCTCGGTAGCAGACGATTCTCGAATCTAGTCGGGCGAGTCCGGCTCGACTCGACGAGTTTTCAAACACTGATTTAAAGGCTACAAGGTTGTAGTATACTGTTTCTTAGGAAGCATATCTATAATTGCTTATTCCAAAACTATAACAACATTACATCTATATTTTGGCATGTGCAAATTCTCAACATGATAAATCCATTTATTGTTTAAAGGATTAATATCGGGTATCTTATATCAACATATTTAATGCATGCAATATTACTGTTACATTATACTAACAAGATAATTACAATGTGATATGTTTACATTATACTAACAAGATAATTATAATGTGATATGGAAGGATAGATATTTTAGATTTCATATGATAGAATTTTATGTCGCATCTGTGAATAAAATTATCCGTGAAGTTGAAATTTTGTTTCCTTTTCATATGATAGAATTTTATGTCGCATCTGTGAATAAAATTATCCGTGAAGTTGAAATTTTGTTTCCTTCTTCGATAAATATCAGTGCCTACAATTTTTTTTCTATTTTGTTTCCTTATATATTGCTGATATTTCTATTAAAAAAAAAGGAAAGAAAAAGGGGAGACAAAAATTATAAAAAAAAAAAATTATTGCTCCATTTTTATTTCTTTATTGCTGATATTTGAATGCAATTAATGCACTTATTGCCTTGGTGTGATATAGAAATTGATACTTGATATTTGTTTTTTTATTATATGGGCTCACACACTTTGATATTGCTCTTGCACCCTTGATAAATAATATAAAGGGGAATTTTTTTTTATATTACATTTGATAATTGTAGTGCTTGTTTATAGTTTTGGAAATTGCTTATTTCATAATTTTTTTTTTAAGGCATCAATTATAACTGACATTATTTATGAAATAATTGCAGCTCTCTTTATAGAAGTATTGACCACATATTAATTTTTCATGCCTTGTTTAGCTTTTTTAGAACTTTGAAAGAATTAGTTTGCTCACACAAATCTGAGCAATTGGCAAGTAGAAATGTAACAGCTGAACTTTCTAAAGTTGAGAAATTGAATGGAAATAATTTTTGGATGTGGAAGAGGAAGATGGAATATCTTTTCATTTAAGATAGAATAATATATGTAGTAAGAGAATATCCACCAGAAGTTGGTGATAAACCAACTGAAGAAGAAAGAAAAAGGCTAGAAATTTTTTTAGAATATGAC